AAAATAAAGAATAAATGTTAAAAATATAAATGAGAGCCTAATTTTATTTTATTAATTAGCTGAGAAAAAAATAATAAAAATTAAAAAAAAATAAAAAAAAGCGTTGTGACCGTATAAAAGAATGTTTGGTTGCTTATATAGAGAGATTGTTTGGGTATTAAAAAAAGTGAAACTATATTTAGTTATGTTTGTAAAATAATAATAATATAATAATAATAGAGTTTTATGATCAGAAAAAATAAACTTTTAACAATTTTCTATTTTCAACCGTTAAATATATATAAGAACTTATTTATTTTACATATTTTTTCAATTTGATGTGATTACGATTAAATATAATGGTAATAAAATGACCCTACTTAAAAAATTGTCTTGCCATAAAAACTCTCTAATAATAATAATAATAATTCTCGGATATATAAGCATTAGAAATGAAAACCTTAAAATGAAACAGCCTTTTTTATCCAAATTTCACAATAAAATTCGTGATCAGTTCTCTTTTATTTAACTTCATAATATGATAGCCAAATGCTATTTCAATATCACTATTGGGAGCCGTATTAGACCATTTCAAAAGGGTACTAATTTACTAAACAACACAAAAATGTCCAATCTAATTTATTTTATAATTATACTCGTGTACAAATAAGAAAATATCTTGTATGATTGTGATCAATATGATTATTCACATATTGTTTTGTCAAATATTTTCTCTCTTATTTTCTTTCCAAATTTGGAAAGATCAAAACGTGTTGAACCATATGAATTCACATTTTACAACTTCATTCCTTCTTATTTTGCTATATACGAAACAACTTAAGATTCATTTTCTTAGTATAACATAATTGGAGGTTTTTGTAAGGCAAAAAAATAAAAATAAAAAACCCGTTACATTACTGATATATTGATGTGACATTTTGCCACTTACTATATATTTCTTCTCTCTATTTTTTTTTTTGAGTTTTTTTTTTTTTTCTTTTTAGCTTTCCAGGTATATCACTACATGTACTTTAATAAGTGTTTTGAATATTCGATTGAGTTAAAATCACATATATTTATTTAAAAAAAACAAAACTAATAGAATATGATATAAATATGACGTTTCAAAATCGATTCCTAAGATATTTCTTCAATCCCACAGTAAAAATCTACTATCTCTCTCCTTTTTTTTTTTTTTCCCCTTTCAACGTATAATTTTTCCGTTTACAGCTTGTTCCGAGAATAAACAAATTTTGAAATTCATGTTCACTAGACCTCATAGAATCTATAGGGAAATTTATTCTTTTTATTTATTATTTATTTTTTTAAGGATATGTTACAAGTAAAAAATCAACATGCTACTGAGCTGGCCCTAAAAAGGAAAGGAGACAGAGAAAAAAAGAGAGAGTGAGTCGGCTAAAATTTTAGAACCGCAACCGCTTTCGAGCGTATAGTTGGATTTCTGGTCCTAAAAATTGGTTATAAAGCTCGTATCATTTGGACTTTTTAATGGCAGTGACTGTGTTTGGCATGGTGATTTTATTAGGGCAGATCTAATTTCATTTAGAGGATAGAATCCAAGTGACTTGGAGGTATTTTTTGGTGCATTTTTCGTCTGGTGTTTATACTCTCTCGGTGCTTTGTTCTAAAGGGTGGTGGACTTCTTTTGGAGGTAGTAGTATACTCTCTCGGTGTTTTGTTCCAAAGGTGGTGGACTTCTTTTGGAGGTAGTGGTATCGGCTCCAAATGTTGATGGCGGTGGCACATGTGTTTCACATTATGCTATTTAAAGGCATTTTGCTGGCTTCGCCGCTAGTCCCTATAAACGTTTTTCCTACAGTGATGGTTCTCTTGTCGGCTATACTTTCATTAAACGTTTGTGGCGGTTGTGCTTTTGGTTTTATTTTTTATGTTTTAGTCCAATAAAGGCATCGATACTTTCACCTAATTTTAGTATTTTATTTGTAATAATGGGGGTAGTTCTCCCGCTATTTGAGTTTATTTGTTATCCGTCAGATTTAGGTCTTAGCGAGTGTTGGTACATGAATTCGTACCAGGCCCATTATGGGTCCAGGCAAATCATTTGCGTCTCACGACGTAATTGGACTCGTTTCGTGGACCCAAGCCACGTTCAAGGAACTCTCATGGGTTGTGGTTTGGTGGGTCATGAGTGATCACATAGGCTCATTTATCCTTAATTTGACCCAATTTGAAACCTGCTTAGGGTTTTTTTTTTCATTATTAGTCAAATTAAGCATGAATGGGTGATGGAGGATTCAACCTAAGAAAGCATTCCCGTTGTCTTTAGAAGCCCGAAAATCCTTTATTTCAGCCTTTGAAAGGCCTAAAAGCCAAGCGTAATCCTTTAGAAATTTTTTCCAGCTTAAAGGCATGAGAAATCCATTAGTTTTGGCTCATTCGGAGGCTTTTCTCATGATCAGACGTGCCTCTCATAGCACTCTCCATGTTAGGCATGCTTTCTCATCTCTTCTCTGTATCAAGTTGTCCATTCGGAGCACTCGTGTGCATTCGGAGCAACCTGGTGTTAGGACAGTCTGTTGTCAGAGCAAGTACAATGGCTGCTTGGTCATTCTCATACAAACAATCTCCGATGAATGTCTGACACACAATCAGACCCCCAAAAAGGAAAGTTTTCAGAACACTTGGTTGAGTCAAACACTCTTAGAGATTTCAGATCTAAAGTCACTTCGCGTCAGCCCAAAATCCAAAACTTGGCCTTCAAGTATTTCCACTTCTAAGGTGTCATTTTGCCTCCTCTGACAAGGTAGCTGAGATTTTACTCTGAACGGAATTGCTTGTGTCTTACTTCATCAGACCACCGCTGGAGCAAATTTTGAGAAACCTTTCATCTTGTTTTTGGCAAGTCTCTTTGTCAAAATCGAAAAGCTATTTGACACCTTTCCTCCTAAAAGGAATGCTCCGACAGCCCGCCGCCATTTCTCCCACTCCAGAATCTTCCATTCCATTTTCATACCATCTCTTTGTCAAACCATGAAAAGCCTCTGATAGCCTTCCTCCAAACGGAAATGAGTGTTCAGACCTCTGTTAGAGTAACTGTCAAGCACTCCCATCGCCTCCTATAAATAACCCCCTTTACCTTCTTCATTTCAACACACAAGAGACCAAGAACACACTTGCACATTAGAAAACACCATCAAAGTGCTGAAACTCTTAAGAAATCATCGTCATTTGAGTGATTTCTTCAAGTATTTTGCTACAAAGACTTGGAGTCTTCTCCAAGTTCTTGAGGAACTCCATAATTTCTAAGTGTTGACCTCTTTAGAAACTCCTCAAGAACACTTTCCAAATCCTTTTCCACCACTATATGAGTGATTCAAGAGTTTTTTCTACACTTTCCCGGAAGTATTCAAGCCTCCAACCTCAGAGCCACTCTCTTCCACCATCGGAGAGAGTGCTCCAAACAGTCTCCACACTCTCAGAGTGACATGCATTTCCCCTCAGAGCTCTTTTATTAGACTCATCGATATCACGTTTCTCCATCAGTGCTTTATTCACCAACAAAGCTACATACTCAAAGCCTCCAAAGCAGCCCGAAAACTGCTTTTGGAGCTCTTCTCCATAAAAAAACCTTATCCAGCTCTCGAGTCACTCCTCCATCAATTATGTGATCACTCCTACCACCATTCTTCATTCGCGAAGTTCTTCATTATTATTTTCTAGATTTTTTAACATTTTTTGCAGGAGTATTTTCGTGATTTTGGCAACAAAGAGGGTCCTAGAACACGTGTTCTTCAGCCTAATTTGGGCTTAGGAAACCACACCACCCTCAGAAGTCCTACTGTCGTCATCTACTTCGAAGGCTCGTTAAGTGTTTTGGCCACGTTGGAACCGCCACCAATGAGTCAAATACTTATATGTGCACACCCTCACCACATCATACCCTCTGAATCTACCGGGCCCCGACAATGAGTTAGAAGTTCTGCTAGTTATGAGTTTAGGCGGAAATGTTGGTGGTCGTAGAGCTATATGTTACATGCTTGATAGATTGGAAGCTTCCATCAATTGTAGTAGTTTTAAAAAAAGTCTTATATGTGCTCAAATTGATGTGTCGAAGAATTTTGTCAATATCGTCTCGTCTTACATCATCTTCCCAATGCTTCATCAGAATTCATCGATGCAATTAGTTTCTATCGAGTGTTTTGTGTTATATACCACATGGTCATCTGCATTATAATTACTGCCTGTAAAACCTTTTAGTTGAATGAAATTATACCCTAAAAAAAAAATCAACAAGCTTCTAAAGGGTATCAAGACAAGTTCTTTCTTTATGCATTTCTTGCCAAGACATTCTCATCAGTTTTTTTGTTGCTGCCGGAGAAATGAGGCAAAGAACGTGACAAGGGCAAAGGGTCATACACTATACATATCAACTTTAAGAAATTATTAGTTGTAAAAATAGTAAAAAATAAATAAAAGAACTGTTAGTTTTGTACACACACACACATATATATATATATATATATTGGCGCTACTCGTTATAGACTAATGCCAAAATATGCAAAATAAGATCAATAATCATGTATTTATTTAAAACAAACACAAAAAAAGAAGCAATAATAGTACCAGCAAAGCATAAAAGCTATGCCCAACTTGGTAAAGACATATACAAAAGAAAAACTCTACACAACTTGGTAAAGACGATATTCAATCTTAAACTCTTCCAATCCGTTAACTGATTCAACTAGTTGACACCTCCAATACAATTGTATAGTTCTATATGACCTATAAAAATATTTTACTGCACTGAGTTATCTTAAACTTTGAACTCAGCAGCATTATTCTGAACATAGAATTTGCTACATAAAAAAAATTTTGCCCAACGGCCCTATGTAGCTTGTGCTGAAAATAAACAAATTCTGAAATTCATGTTCACTAGTTCTTATAGAAGCTAATAGGGAAATTTATTGTTACACGCAAAAATCTTTATACATAATTTTTTTTTAATTTTTATTTTTACTAGTAAATTCAGAAGCTGCAGTTTGAAGATATATATATTTTTCTAAAGGGTATCAAAACAAGTTCATTCTTTATGCATTTCTTGCCAAGACATCCCTAATCAGTTCCTTTGGTGCTGCAGGAGAAACGAGACAAAGAATACGACAAGAGCAAAAGAGTCATGCTTTTAAAAAGGTACTAATAAATAAAAGAATGGTTATTTTTTTTATACATGTTTAACTTACCAGGGAAACCAGTAAATCTCTCAAACTGTACAAATGCTTGATTAACCAACATCTCTGTCCCATAAACAATAGCTGCTCCAGACTCTTGTGCTTCTCGTAAGAGTCTGGTCAACTTTGGGGTGTAAACAGCATCAAATACCAGAGAGTAGTGTTTCAAAGCTTTCTACCAAAAAATATAAAAAGCAATTGTCAACTTACTTCACTCTATGAATGTTAAAAATCAACTTGCAGTTATGATAATTTAATTGCAATTCAAATATGTACGAAACTTTAACTACTCATATCAAACACAATTGCATTCAATTAAGCCCTTTTAGTTTAAGTTCTGTTTGGAAGTTTTGGTGGAGCCAAACCTTGGGTATGGGTGTGTCATCTACTCTTGGTTTCATTCCGACAGATGTAGTGTTCGCAAGAATCATCCCATCCTCGGGACGGAAATTTTCTAGCTCGGCAAGAGTGATAGCCCCACCTCCAACTTTACTTGCAAGTTCTTTGGCCTTGTCTAGAAATCAGAAACACATGTGGTCTCATAAATCTATCTAACGTAAAACAAGTGATCATTATTGATAGCATGCCATGTATTCTTCACCTTACAGTCTTACCATATGTGCGATTCGCTACTACTACTCTTGCTCCTTCTTCTTTTGCACCATATGCAAGTGCCTTCCCCGCACCGCCAGCTCCTATAACCACAAACAGCTTACCAGCCAAGGCAGAACCAGATGCATGATTTGTGCCTTTTAACCCTGCAAGGAAAAACATTAGCTCTTAAGCATTAGAAAATAGCTAACTCCATTTAATACCACATTGGTTTGGAAAGCATTGGACACCTTTTAGTCTTTCCTCAATGGCAGAAATTGCTCCAAGATAGTCCACATTATAGCCCATCAACTTCCCGTCTGTCGGCCTCCTGATCATGCAATTAATCGCTCCTATTGCCTGTAAAGCACGTCTGATTAGTCCACTTAAAAAAGTTAGGCTTAAAAATCCTTCATAGGTGGTTTGATGAGCAAAAGAAAATCTTTGGAATTTTTTTCATGTCAGTACAGATATCCTAAGAAGGCCGTACCTTGGCAATTGGATCAACCTCATCACAACATTTAAGCCCGGCCTCCTTGTGGGGAATGGTGTAACTGAGTCACAAACACAAACATGTTATTTCCATTGACGAAGAATATGATCCTCTAGGAATAAAAGGGCAAATAAACTTGTATCAGATGGTGCAATTAAAAGCTTGTGAGATTAGACCATTTACCTGTATCCAACGAAATCAGGGGATGAATAGGTGTCCAGGAAACTTGTAACACTATCGACCAATAAAGGCAAATAGATACCATTGAAACCAACAGATTTAAATGCCGCATTATAAATATGAGGACTTTTACTATGACCAATAGGATTTCCAATCACACCATGTACTTTGGTATCATATCCTATTTGTCTGAAGTTGTACAAATCCAACAATTCTTTTAAAGTTGGTTGTCCAGGAGCCGATATGAACCCCGCCTCAAGTGAACCGAAAGTGAGAAATCCGCCAAATTTCGCACAAAGCACACGTGAGATCAAACCCTTCTCCCCCATAACAAGTCCTATCATTGGCACCTGCAGTTTGAGTTTAAGTCTCATTCATTGTATACAGAGGAAACATAAATTTGTATAACTGTTTTTCTTTCTTCAGAATTCTTTCAAAAGGAAACGTAAGAAGAACACTCTACATGTCAATTTAGGTGAGAGATAGAAATCCCAAAGTTCATAAATCATTCATTTGGAGCTTACCTGGCAATGCACAAGTACTTGAAAAACACGGGCGGAATCGGTGATGTCTAAGGCAGTTGTTGCAATCTTCACTATATCAGCTCCAGTTGCCTGTATTCTAGCCACCAGATCACCAATTTCCTCGACAGGAGGAGTATTTTGATAGTTATGTGAGGAAACAATTATTTTGGACTTGTCCGGTTTTTTCCCTTCAATGTAATCAAAGAACTCATGAGCCACCTTCAAGAATGGAAGTTAAAGAGACTTGTTCAGCACGTTAAGTATAATACTTTTCCTCAGTAAATTTAATATTGTAAAGTACAATGCATCAAGATAACTACCTTAAGCTCAACATCAATGTAATCAGCCCCAACTTCCAAGGCTATGCGCAGCGCTTCTTGTCGCTTGCGCTCGTCACCTTTATACCGGCCACCCTCCCATACCGGTCTAAAAGATGCATGACAATCGACACATAAAGCCAGATCTCATATCAACTTCAAAATGTATACTTTCTCAATAGAAAATTGCGTGACCATGTTAATTTTATGAAAAAAAATTTGAGCTGTGAACATACAACCACATAAACAGAGAAGTTAAAACTGTAATCTCTTCTCGCTTACCTCCATTTCCTAAGCAAATTATTATCATAAGAGCCCAAAACGCAATAAGAACTATTCAATCCCAAGTGATAACAGAAACAAAAATTTCACTATATATAAGCAGCCTAAAACTTTTTTTTTTTTTTATATATGAAAATTAACATGCCAAAAAACTTGCATTTATATACGACTATATGTTGGGTTTGTGGCTTTAATTAAGCCTCACATTAGCTATTGGGCCAAGGCCCAAGCCTCTCTCATCAACTTAGCTTGCCGGTCAAGCTTTTCACATGGTTTGCCGACTCACTTTGGAAGCATATATAAATATGCTTATGGACGTGTGATTTAGAGCCGCATAGCAGCCGAAAGAGTGATTTGTTTTCCCCTTTGATACACAACTTTCTCTCTTTTGTTTTTTTATGTAGGAATATTTGATCATAGGGTTATTTTTTGACGGTAAGAATTCTTACTTTTAGATTAGGAGATTTTAGATGTATTTAAAATTTAGGTGGTGAGAGATTTTTGATAAATTTTTATAATTTCTTTTTAGTTATAGTAGAATTTTTTAACCGTTTTTGTTTGTAAACATAAATCAAAAGTCGAACTACTGTTTAATTTGACGTTTGACACAACACTATATTCATTTCATTATTACCTATAAGTGACAAGAGTTGGGAAAGGATAATATTGAACTATATTCATTTCATTATTACCTATAAGTGACAAGAGTTGGCAAAGGACAATATTGAATTAGGATTTCAAGATCATGTCTTGGTCTAAAATTCTTCATGAAGTCCACTCTTAGTTCAACAAGGTCAGCACCCAGTTGATTGGCCTTTCGCATTTGCTCCACCATCTGATCAACCGATTCCGCCATCACCGGCGCGCAAATCAGCGTCGAATTTCTTCGAGCGCCATAGCCAACTTGAAGAGTACTTAGCTAGATCAATCATGATCACCCCAGATAAGAGTTTTACCAAAAAAAGAAAAAAAAAAATCATTCAATCAATACAATCTCAACTTTGCACCTACTTTCAAGCAAAATGAGTCATAAATTAAATTGCCCACTTCTCTGTTTGGTGAGAATGTAAGCAAATATCACAGAAGATGAGCATAAAGGAAAAATAACTATATCAAATACTACAAAAAAAAAAAAAAAAAAAAAAAAAAAAAAAATGTGAAAAAAAAAAAAAAAAAAAAAAAAAAAAGTATACATATATGAACGAAAGGTGGAAAAGAAGTTTTACCGGGACGCTGTCGAGAGACGCCATTATTATATTATTTCTGTGAGTTTGAGCTGGGAAATTGGCGAACAATGGCAACAAACTGAAATCGAAATGGTTTTGGTGAGGGAGAGAGAAGAAAGAAGAAGAGTTCGTTCGGTTTTTGGGTTGGTGGGTTAGTACGTGTGTGCGTGTCTATATTACCTGAGAGAACGTGCGAGTTGTTTATTTTATCAATTTAAATTTAAATTTTAAATTTTATTATAATAAAAAATTTAAAAAAATAATCACATTTAATTTTTTTATTATAATAAAATTTTTTTATATAAAATTATATGTAAGCCTCTTTCCTTTGCATATATATACAAGACCGTTATTGTTTTCTATGTTGGTGGCCTTTTTTTTCCAAACGTGGAATCAGAGACGTAAGTGGACCAAGTCCACTCCTTTTTTTTTTTTTTTTTTTTTTTTTTTTTTTGGCTAAAGAGACTCCTAGTTTACCGGTCCGGTTTTAACCTTTTATGACGGAAGTAATTACATAAAATCTCTATTATTAAGAGATTAATTTTATTAGTGTTCTTAAATTTTAAGATTATTTTCATTTTATCTTGAAATTTAAAAACTCTAATTTTGACTTTTAAAATTTTGAATTGTACTCACTTAATTTTCTTTGTAGTAATTTTTTATTAAAAAAAGATAAAAAAAGATGAGATTAAATGTGATCATATGATTTTTATATGTTTATTTTTAACAGACTACACGTAACAGTATAACTCCCTTTCTTATATATTTTTAACATAAATCACAACAAAAAAGGTTAAGCGGTAAGAATTTAAAGTTCAATGAATAAAGTGAGAATTTTAACATTTTAAGGATAAACTGACAATAACTCTAAAATTTAAGGGACATTGGCTTGATAATAATTTTTTATATATATATTAACACATGATTGAATCAGCAATTCCCACCTAAACGTCACCCCACTCAAATTCCACCCCACTCAAACTCACAAATGCCATTACATCAAGAGGTCTTAGATGATATGTCTAATTTTTGCTAGATTAAAATACATTTTTTACAATTTTTTAAAGGAAAAATTGGAATCCACGCCTTTTCTCGGAATTTATGGTGTATAGCAGATTTCATAAATTTAAAGTAATAAATAATATAATTGTTTTAATTAATAAATAAATAGTAAAATCTTAAAAATATTACTATTTTTCCCTTTTATCCTATGAAACCCTAAAAAATTTCCTAACTTGAATGCCCTAAATCCCTCTTTCTCTCTGTATCTGATATTAGTAGAGGGCACACGAGTGAATAATAATAATAATAAAAAGAACAAATAAAAAAGGTCATATGAGCCAAATTGGCTCTATATATAAATTCACGTCCATACTTTTGAATTGATTTATGATAAAGGAAAAAAAAGTATTTGTAGAAAATTTCATGATAGCATCTTCATAATACTAAATTTACTCTTAGAGAAAATTGTTACGGTTACTCTTAAAATGTATGAATCTGAATTTTTACAATATCCTTTCAATTAATATACTTATTTATCTAAAAATGATATTAATTAAAAATAAAAAGTGAAAATTCAGACCAAGTGTATTTTTCTCCTTTTCTCTTAATATTATTATATAAAGAGACTAACGATTATCGTTTATATCCTACTAAATAACCTGTCATGAAACTAAAAATTCTAATAACTGCTACCATCAAAAAGTAATTAGCGGTATTCTACCATAAATTTGGTATATGGGTTTAACCAATGATTTTGATTATGACTTTTGAAATTTAAATTTTTATGAGATAAAAATACTGTAGCAGAATCAAAACTATATATTTGAACCCGTGAAAAACTATATACCAAACATACCCTAAAAGTTCTGACAATAAACATTAGTCAGCCAAAAATTGCAATTTGAAAGGAAAAGTAGAGATTTTTTTTTTTTTTTTGCGGTAAATTAAATTGGAGATTGTTTAAGTACATATGAAGGAGACATTTGAGAAAAATCATTTGAGTTGAGCAACAGAATAAAAAATTTGTTTCAATAGCAAGAGATAAGCATATCAGACTTGGATCTGAAGTTTACTTAACATGGGTTGCACCGTTGCACCTACTACATTGGCAAATAATTTTGAAGCAAACGAGATCCCATATTATTTTTCTTTCATACATGTTATCTCTAAGGAGCCTAAAATTGCCCAAAAAGTAGGCTGAAAATAAGCCAACAATTCGGGAAAAAAAAGTGACAAATGTTCGGATATTCGTTCTAAAATAATTTTATTTTTTATATGAAAATGAAAATGAAAACGTTTTCAATTTCAGACAGAAATTATTTTTAAAAATGCGTTTGGTATTTTTATCAAGAGATTATTTTTAATATAAAAAAACTCGTTAATGTCTCTCTCTGCTCGAGAGATGAGAAAACAAAAACAAAAAATAATGACTAAAAATCATTTTTCATTTCTCTCATATTATACTAAACCAAAAAATCGTTTTCATTTCTATTTTTTGTCTTTATTGCACCAAACACCGTTCTAAAAACGTTTTCATTTTTTCTTTAATGAAAAATGTGAAAAATAAAAACGGGATTAATTCTAAACACGGCCTTCATTTTGTACCCTTCTCATGACTTTACACCTTAGAATAGATTGTCGTTGAAAGTAGGCGTTTTAGCCAGATGTTATATTCTGCAATCTTTGAAGTTGGTATAATGGTATTGCTCTTTTGTTGCATAAGATATAAAAGAACTTTTCATGATCAATCATATGAATTACAACAACATTAACTGTGCCAAAGATGAATTTTTCCATCCATGGAAATTTCTCGATTTATGTGAAATTTCCATGACTAAATCATATATTGCATATCAAATTATATGCAATTTACTATTTGTCACATATATTGTACACAATTGAATGTTTGTTTCTTTTGAAGGAGAGCATCAAAACTTTTCCCAAATAATCTCGCGCATGAATTCCACAGGTGCTGCAAAAACCAGGAAAGGAAAATGGAGTTGAGATCATCTGAATTTTCCAAGCAAAATCTCTCTCTCATTTTTTTTTTCCAGTAAACATGTTGACATGATTAAGGAAGATGACCTTAGAAATTTCAAAGATCAAGATGACAAAAAGACTAGACCATGAGATGATTGGATATGGAAAAACAGAAGGAAAAAAAAAAAACATAAAAACTTACCTTGTCCACCTGTGAAGAGATTGAACTGACCAACGGCCTGTCGGAGAAACATTTCAACTCCACTCACAACGATGGCGCCGGAGACTTCTGCTTCTTTCAATAATCTGGTTTTTCTTGGGTTGTAAACCGAGTCAAACACAAGTTGATAATCTCCCAAGCTTGCCTTAAAAGAGCAAAAACATGTCAACGTAGAAGCCAAAAATTGAAAGCCATGGTAATGGAAATAGACTAGGAAATTGTAGACGACCTCAGAAACAGGAATTCTATCTGTATTTGGATGCATTCCAATTGGTGTTGCATTGGCAAGAACTGCACCTTTCTCGGGCTGGAACTGGTCTAAATCTTTGAAACGCCTTACTTCGCCATTTACAGCGCAAGCAAGAGACTTTGCTCTGTCTTTTTAGGACAAAAAACAAGAATCAGGACACAAGTGATTTTGATTAACTTTTACATTTTTTTCATACTTTATCATTATCCTACCAAAATCTATGTCAAAAACGACCACACGAGCTCCTCTACTTCTGGCGCCAAATGCCAAGGCCCTTCCTGCGCCTCCGGCACCAACTAGAACAAACATCTTTCCATATAGTGGAGCATTCATGGCTGTTTTTCCATTAATGGATATGTGTTCTGTCACATATCAAATGCAAAAAATGTGATCATCAACCGAAAAACATTTGAAGAATTAGGAAGCATAACATTTTCAAGGGAGCTTAGGGATTTTCTTGTGTGTGTGAATTACCTTTTATTAGAGCATCCTCTATTGCAGTTATTGCAGCCTCACAATCTGTGTTGTAACCAACCAACTCTCCATTACCGGGCCTCCTTATAATCGTATTAGCCGCGGCTATAGACTAATGAACCATTAAAAAAGTTATTAGCTTAGAAAAGTACTCAAATTCCATAGTTATTAGGAAAACAAGCAATAGAAAATGCAACTTTGAGACTTGAGTGGACCAACCTGAGCAAGTGGATGGACTTCATTGCAGAATCCAATTACAGCTTCCTTATATGGAATTCCAACACTAGATTATCACCAAAATGAGGAGAAACAAATCACGTTTTAAGACAAGAGTAGACCCTTTAAAGTACTCTTTGTGAAGAGTTGAGATTTTTGTTCTTTTGGTCATGCTAATTGACAACTGCGTGAGATACCTGAATCCAACAAAGTCATGGCTAGGATAGGCACCGAAGAACTTCTGGAGATCATCGACAAGCATCGGAACATAAACTCCGTTGAAGTTCGCGTGTCTAAGGACGGGATTATGCAGTATAGGACCTTTGCTGTGGCCAACAGGCTTTGAGATGAGCCCAAAAACTTTAGTCTCCTCATTTATGTAGTGAACTTTGTAGGCTTCTCTGAGGCTAGCTAAAGTGGGTAAACCCGGAACAGAATCTCCTTCTATAGTGCCATATACCATAAACCCGCCATATTTTGGGGACAATATCTGACTTATAAGACCTCTTTCCCCTGAAGAGTATGCAATCAGTGGCACCTGCAGGCAATACCAAAAACTGTCAAGTTTTCAGAATAATTAATCTACCAATACTTTGTTTTATACTTCTTATTGAAACTACATCTGTTTACTTCTTTTCTGAATGATTCTCCAATGTTGCTATATAAACAGGAAAAGAAAAAACACAAACCTGACAACATGATAAGAGGTGAAAAATTCTTGGTAATTCTGTAATATCAGCTGCATTGATGACGAGTTTGGCAATATCGGCACCGGTAGCTTGAATGCTTGCAACAATATGGCTGAGATCTTCTTCTGAAGGGGTCACTCCATTCACATAGCAAGACACAATAATTTTGCTGTCTCTACTACGTTCCTTTTTGTTTTCCTCCACAAGCTTAGAAGCCACCTAAAATACATAAGTTTTCTGCCTTTCAACAGTTCTTGATTGAAAAAGAGACTATTATAATAGATAAGATATTCAGATGGAAAATTAAAAAAACTGAATATTTCAACAAACTCAAGAACATTAAAGCATTATACCTCGAGATCATATTCGACATAATCAGCTCCCAACTCTTGAGCCAAATGAAGTGCTTCGACTCGAGCACGTTCATCGCCTTCGTACAGACCACCTTCCTGTTTTCGCCTGAAATCATGAACAAGCTTCTTACAAAACAGAAACAGAAAAGTCTCATTTTTTAGCCTTGCCAAATTGACACAAGATAAGAAGGTCTAACTAGTTAGAAGCCATACCGGTACACGGTAAGAACCGGCAATGGCTTGTTTCTCAAGATGGTTTCGAGGTCATTGCGGGGCTGGAAGTTGTCAATGCAGTCCAACCTGATCTCCACCATATCAGCACCTTGTGCCTTTGCCTGGTGCATTTGGCTCACCATTTGCTCAATGGATTGAGCCATTAGTGGTGCACAGATCAGGGTTGAACTTTTCTTCATCCCAACACCTTGGAATTTGCCAAAGAAACTACAACAAATGAGGGCTGGGATTGATGTGCGTACCAGTTGTTTGCCCTTAAATAATAATAATAAAAAAACAGAAGCTATTTGGAAAGAGATCAAGAAGACAATTTGAATACAGAAAGAATAGCTATTTAGTTGGATTTCTCTACTTGGATTGCAATGCTGTCCAATTCCATGAAGAAGTAAAAAACAAGCTATGCAAAGACAGAAAAGCTGAGATAGGCAATACACTTAAATAGATGTCGGGACTTATATATAAATTGGGGTACTTGGGAGTTGGTGGCAGTTTGTAGGTAAAATGAATGAAGGGATGAGAATGGCTCAAAAGGGCAAAAAGAAGAATAAAAAGGGAAATGTAGTAATCAATTTCAGCGCTTGCCTTGCCGGGAAGCATTTGACATCTTCCTTGTGATCAGCGCATGCCAGTAATGGTTAGGTTCAACTGGTGCAGGCCATGGGGAGTAGGTGAAACCCAAGTAATTTGATTTTTTCTGATATGGTATGTTTCTAAATGTTAGATTTAATAAAAATCACATTACGATAAAAAAAAATATAAAATTAAAAAAACTCGATAAATACCTAACCTGCCCAGTTAAATTATGGAGAAAAACTTATAAGTCATAAATCATGCAAATGTTCGGTGAAATTCTTCTATGGTGTTAAGGCTTTGTTCATTTCGTCGATTCGAGTTTTACTACAGTAAAAAGCTCTTAGAAACAGTCACATATAACTTTTTTGTTACAGTAAAAAGCTCTCACACAAAATTATATCTCTACTCGAATTACAAACTCGAATCAGCAAAATAAACGAGAATCTTAAAGAGTGACGCGACCATGTTTTGCTCCCATTAATCCATCAAGGAGTCAAATATTGAGGTAGTCAAAGATAATAGGTTAAACCAATTGAGAGAATATATAGAAATTAGGTGAAGCCTGCCATTTGAATCACTTTTCACACGTTGCCAGCTTTTTTAAAAAATTTTAAATGTTTCACAAAATTTAAATACCGTTGAATATATATATATATATATTTGGAATATCGTTGAATATAATTTGATCGCAGGACAATGTATTTTTTAAAGAAGTCATGATCATGACCACAATTGGTCTCGGAGGACCAACTAAAAAGTTATTTTTCTCAAAGAAAAGAAAAGTCATAACATTATTCTTGTCCGTGAGCCAACTTTAATATATATGCATGTGGTACGAGCGAACGAGGCCTAAATAATAATAATTTTTTAACGAGCACCCTTATTCAATCACATTGTCCTCTCACAACAATTGTGAGTGTGATTGAGCTCCACCACTTGATGCCATTCTGTGTACAAAATTGATGCCCCGTTCCGTGACAGTTTCGCATCACATATAGCAATTGGGTCCGACTTTACTCTTTGAATCTATTTAATTTACTAATTTGAGTTGTGATATAATTTTATGTAAAAAATTATATAATTATTTTTAAATATTTTTTATTATAATAAATTTTAAATTTTAAATTTTAAATTATGAAATAAACGACATTTTTGTTTACGTGCGGGGCCATCTTGCCGCTTCACTCGTCTTTGGGAGAGAGTACGACTCAACCTCGACGGCGGTTGGTGCAGCTTTTTCCTTCGTTAGTGCAAGACTTCGGTACTTTTTCTGGCCTTTTAAAATGACGCTTGCAAAAGTCTTTTTCCTTTCCACTTAGGCACCAACTCATTCCCACGTCATAAGTATTAAAGAACAAGTTGAAGGACAAAGCCAAATAGCACACACGACCGTCCAAGATCCAACAATTTCCACTTTTCACAAAGAAAATGTCCGCAGAAGACAACTTTGATATGCATTAATTAATTATATATATATATATATTATGCTGAAACGATATTGAGATGGATAATGGTAGGTGAAATGGAGAATCCATTGTGATTATATCCATCTAATACATTTCCATCTTCACCTACCATTCTATAATCTTCTGTCTAATCCAAAACAAATTTCCTCTTTTGTCTAAAAAAACTACGACTAATAATAATAATAAATAGAGTTTGTTTATAATCCGCATTATTAATAGTTGTAATATTTTATTATTAAATTTAATCAAAATTACATAACATAATAAATAAACTTTTACATCTGAAAAATGAGAGATTATCGATAATTTATTTACTACCAAGAAAGTCTCGAAAATAAAACTTCTGTTTAGTTGCAAAGAAAATCAGATGGAATAGAAAAAAAAAGAAAATAAGAGAAAAAGAAGAAAATAAGGGATGGTGGCATATCCCTTGTGATTCGTGAGAGAGAGGGTGGCGTGGGACCCGGATGTCAGAGGTTCAAGGGAACGTTGCGCCGCTCACTTTTTTTGCTTCATCTTAATCCATCCGATCATACACGTGTCGTCCATTGCGTGTCCGAGTGATTCATCTTCGGCTCACCGCATCTTACTTTGGCCTTTACACGTGGGCTGAGTAGTTGGGTGGGGCCAACTTAAAAGTGAATTTTTTTCTCTGTAGACGCTCAAAGGGGATTTTTTCTCGAAAGTTTTCTAAGGGAGAAATCTATGATATAGAATGGAAAAAACCTATATAAGGTTCTTCTTTTTCTTTTTCTTTTTTTTTCTTTTTTATTGTTTAATTTGCATTAGAAACTATATAGTATATATATATATATATTTATTTTGATACAGTCACAAACTTGCACTATCATTAATTTTTTTTTTCTTTTTTATTGTTTAATTTGCATTAGAAACTATACAGTATATATATATATATATATTTATTTTGATACAGTCACAAACTTGCACTATCATTAAATATGCATTTTATATGGTTATTTTTATATTTTATGTTATCTAAGTCCCGTTCATTTTATCAATTTAAGTTTAGAATTCGAGTTTTGCTTCAGTAAAAAATTCTCAGAAATAATCACATCTAATTTTTTTACTACAGTAAAAATTTTTCACATAAAGACACATTTCAATTCGAATTAAAAACTCAAATCAGCGAACTAAACGAGCTTTTAATGTCTATTCTTTTTGAATTGAAAATTTCGTTCAATACCATATCAATTTTCAAAAACATGCACTACACAGTAAAACACGTTTTTTTTTTTTTTTTTTTTTTTTCCAGTTGTAAATATATGGTTTAACAATGCTGCATATGTTGGACAGCTGCAACTTTCATATTGGGGTCTTTCTTTGGTTTCCTTCCCAGTTCCCTCCTTACCTTTGCGTAGACTTTGGATTTTGTTGACTTGTTCTTTAAGGTTGACTGTTAGTTGATTTGAGCCTCTCTTTTGTATCCTTTATTTTTCGCAATAATTCAACCAATGAAGAGGTAGGTATGCCATGTCTCCCAATAATTTAGACATCTCCAAAAGTTATAAGAGATGACAAAAAAAAAAAAAAAAAAAAAAAAAAAAAAAAAAAAAAAAACACGCCGTCATTTTTTATCCCTTATTTAACTACGTAAAAATTTTTTTTATCTTATATCAAAGTTTATTTTTTATATCAAAGTAATCTTACATAAAAATAAACTAAAAATAGTAGTTTCAAATTTAATTTGTCGTTTTCATTCTTAAATATTTGTCTTTAACTATGTAAAAATTGATGTGAAAAATAGTAGTTGCAAAGTTAATTTTGTCATAATCCTAAATCCACCTCTAATATGGAGGTTAAAAGGAAATCCTTTTAGTATTTGATATATCAACATTATCCTTGAGATAATCCAGTATTGGCGTGCCATCAATATGACATGTTTGTCCTTATTATCCAGTCAATATGACATGTATGTCCTTATTATTAACACTTTTTTGATCAAACAAAAAAGAAAAAGAAACAACATTAACAAGATACAGATTATAGAAATCATGGGTAGGAATCTTTTGTTCCCAATATTTCTATACAAGACAGTCTTATTGCCTCAACATACGACTTCACTTTCTTTGAGCCATACCTCAGTACTCATCATACATTCAGCAGAAACAAAATGTCTAATGCACCAAAGTACTAAACAAAATGTCTGTTACAACTTCAATAATCCTGACTTGCATGTTATGATCAAAGTAAACTTGTATATAAAAAAACAAAATACTAAAATAGTAGTTGCAAATTTAATTAGTCGCTTTCATCTTTAAATGTTCACCTCTAACCTATAATAATTTACGCAAAAAGTATTAGTTGCAAACTTAATAATCCTAAATCCGCCTCTAATTTAGAGGTTAATTTTGTGTTATAATCCAAAATCCACCTCTAATGTTATAATCATTAAATGGCGTTAAGCGTTAAGATACAACATTATCTTTGTGATAATCCACCAATATCACATGTCTTTCTGATTTTCATTGACCAAAAAAGAAAAATTACAATAACCAAATTATAGAAATCACGTAGGTATGAATCCTTTGTCACCAATATTTCTATACAAGACAGTCTTATTGCCTCAAACATACAACTTCACTTCTCCACTCTTTAAGTGAAACCTAGACTTGTTTATTTACATCTAAACTCAAAAAAAGTTACAACTTTACTAAAGTTTATGCTCTTTTATAAAATTTAAGTTTGAACTTAAATTTTAACTTAAATTTATGGTTAAAATACGAGTTTAAATTCCTCATTCAACTCAAGTTCCTAAACTCAAAACTCAAATTAATGAACAATATTTTTTTATTCTTAAAAACACCATAACTTTTTTATTTTAATTTTGATTAAGATGATTTTTTTTATGCGTTCATAATAAAGAGACGAATAAAACCTCACAAATATACCCTATTAAAATTTTTTATCACCATTGAGTTTTTATTAAAATACTACATAAATACAAATTCAAGTTTTGATCCACCCTAACACAAACTCAAATAAATTCTCATTTCAAACCATAACTCAAAATGTGCACATCCAAACACAAACTCAAATTAGAGTCTCAACTCAAACTATACTTAAATATACCTTAACTCAAATCAAGATCTGAACTCAAGTTACCCTAACTCAAAAAATGCAAATAAACAAGCCCTCATTACTCGTTTTATGTTCAGCAGATACAGAATGCCCAATGCACCCATTTTTAGGATCATCAAATTATAACTGCCCATCTTAGTGAGCTCATCTGCCGAGTAAAAAACGTAGAGCTTGGCACTCCAGATCCGTCCTGCCCAAAAAAACCCGTAAAATAGATTTTTCTTTGATATTGTGTATTGTTTTTACACGGCTTTCAACTGAAATACTGATAAGTTTATCATTTGCTTTCTGCTTCTCTGGCTGTACGGTATCATTCATTTACATGTGCCTTTCTTCTTTTGCAGCTCAACGATATAGTTCTCGAGATTTTGAGGTCGGTATTCTGATTCAAGCTTGAATTTAGCGATATATCCGATTACAGTTCTCACAGCTTCTATTTCTTTGTCTACGGCCTGATTCCATAAGCAAATCACAGCGAAGCAGCAGAGTTAGAATTGAACCTCATGCTATGGAAAATGCCAAAGTGTA